CGCTTCACAGGTACGTAACAGCCAAACTTGTATCGCTCATCTCTCTCTCTCTCTCTCTCTCTCTCTCTCTCTCTCTCTCTCTCTCTCTCTCTCTCTTGATCTTGATCTTCTTCGTCGTGGTCTTCTCTGCAGGTGCGCGGCAGCTTCTCCAACCTCAGGTCCGCTATGGCGGACTACAACCTTCGGCGGCCACCTCTGCTATGGCGCTTCAGGCCCTGCACACGACGGCGCGCATGGAATAGCGGGTACCGGCTCCGATGCCAAAATGCAATCAGACTCGTTCTCGTTCACACGTTTCATGCATGTAAACAGTAGCACAGCAAACTGGCGACATGCGGCCACTCAAAACTCAGAGATATGGCTTCCAGATACAAGTTCACTTTCAATTGGCTATGGCGACTCAGCGCCCAAACAACTCACTGTTCACACACACCGGATCACCCTGGATACCCACACGCGTAACTCTGAACACTCGCACATACACACACACACTTCACACTAACTACAGCTATGGCAGCTATGGCTGCCTCTACCCTATCGCTATACTAAGCTCCTTCTCTCTCGCCCACTGCGTCCTCCGGGCTCACTGCAGACCTCCTTGCACAAGTCGCTGTGACAGCGCTTCCGCATGGCTCACGCAGGAATGAATGAAAGGCTGGGCGCTGTCTCTTGATTTATACTTTGGAAAYTCGTTGGTCTGCCCTTTGCCAACGGCCCATGGTGCTCACAGTCCCCCGTGGTACTTGCTGGACCGGAGTGGGACTGACTGGACCTTACCGCTGACTGACTGTGGACTCACTGCCAACCTACCGTAGTYGTACTGCGATTGCACTGCAGTATAGTCCACCRCTTGACTCGCCACTTGMCCACTTGCCYACTTGCCGACCTTCTAGAAGGACTACAGCTAGACTTCTGGAACTCGCTAAGACTTCTACTCTATAGATCTACAGATCGAACCCCCGCTGCCTATGGACCTACGACATACCTACCAACTGTCTACGAATACACAGGTCACAGGTTCAACTCTCGGGAACTACACAGATACTGTACATGGGTAGGGTGAAGTCTAGGGATCGAGCCCTGGGATCTGCGTCTGTTACTGCAAAAGGTTAAAACCGCATTTTTGAGACTTTTTAAAAGTTTTTTTTCTTGTTGTTGTTTTGTTTTTCTCTCTTTCATCTGTTTGCGAGGCATGCTCACAATTTGCTTTTTTTGCATGCAGACCTGACCTGTCAGAGCATCAGAAGCTTCTTAGACAATGGCGAAGTGTAAGACCCTGGAACCGATCGCGGGATGGTGAAGGTAAGACCCTCGAGGCTCGAACCGATCGCAGGTCAACCACCTCACACTGGGATGAGCATTTCACCCGAAGCGGAGTACAAAATATTGGATGTCGATCGTTCTTTGAGGCGTTTACGTCTCTTCTTAAGCCGCCAGTTCACCCGAAGCAGAGTACTGCTCTTGGCGGTTCACGCGGCAAGAGCGTTTCGATTCAGGCCCGGGACGGTGGCAAAAGCGACAGGCCACATTTTTGAAAACCCGCAGTTGCAGGTCTGCAAGCCTTTGGAAGGTCACTTTGTCGACTTACGTTCGGCATCTGAGCTGTGGTGGTTTGAACCCTTAACCTCCAAGAGGGTGGGGTAAGGGTGGTACTCTTCTCCTCTTTTCCTGGATTTTCCAAGATTTACATCACCTGCGCATGGAGTTTTGCATAGGGTGAGGATTATGACGGGGGCGGGGTCTTCAAACTCTGTCAGTTAAAGTGTCGTGTTGAAGCAGTGTTTTTGCGCTAATTTGTTTTCTGTCCGAGGGGGGGTTGGGGGGCGGGGGGAGGGAGTGGAAGGAGGAGGGGAAGGAAGAGGAGGCAGTCTTCGGTGGCTTCCCTTGAAGGGGATCAGTACCTGCATTGCGATTCAGTGTTTTGGACCTGGAGTCCTGTTATGCGTATTGTGCGTTGGGCGTGGAATACTGTGACCGGTCATATTCATCAGTTCTCCAATTTGAACACAAGATCATTTTTTTCTTAGTGTTTTTTTTGGTTCTTAGTACTTCTCACGTCTCGTTCGAGCTGTGGCGTGGTGTAAAGACCTGCAATAGGCTTTTGACTGGTTCTGCTGCTTGGACCACCTGGAATACATACATAGCCTTATCGTTTTGGTGTTAAGGCCTGCCTGCCATACTTCTTGTGCTGTTTCGGGCAATCTGTGTCAGCTCGCGAAAAAAGCAGAAAGTTATGGGCGTGCATTAAAGACGTTTTTTGTCGGTGAACTGAGAAGACTGAAGGCGGCGTAGGTTGTTGTCGAGTTAATTGTGGCTTATAAATAGTAATATGAGGTGATAATGGTCGATTGATTCACATAGCCAAGTTACGCCAACTTACCGTTTCGGTGTAAGTTCTGGTGTACGGCAACTTGTGTCTGCTCCGGAAAAAAAAGCGAAAGTGGTGGTCGTCGTCGTGATTGAAGTCGAGGAGTCGGGTGGGGGACACTGAGGAGACCGGAGGTGGAATATATTGTCGGTCAACATCGCACGGCGGAGTTGGTTGTTGTCGGAATCGCATAGTCAGGTTACACTTGGACATACTCACACTAGGACTTTTTTACTTATTTCCGAACGTAATTGCGGTCGGATGCATCCAGGTCTGGCCTTAAATGCGGTCAGATACATCTAAGATAGTGCTAGGGTGAGTACAGTGTACACCCTACCTGTTTTGGTGTTAAGGCCTTTGGTACTCCGGCGGTTGGGGCAACACTTGTGTCAGCTGTGGCAAAAGCGAAAGCGGTCCCTCGTGATTCAACAACCAGTACTTCCGGATGTTGTGCCCGTAAGCAAGAAGCCGCGACTTCAGGGAACGTAGGGGCCACTACAGGAGCGGCCAAATTTATCCGACTAGAAACACTTTTTTTTTTGTTTTTTCGGTGGCGGATAGCTAGGCCAAGCACTGGTGGTTTAAAGTCGAGGAGTTGGGCAGAAAACTGAGGAGACAGGAGGTGGCATATTATATTCCAAGTGGTCCTCCTAGCTGAGGAGTAAAGGCGGAAACTGAGTAGGGGTTGTGGCGTATATTGTCCGAGCACTGGTGGTTTATAGGGGGTGGCATATATTGTCCGTTGTTGGAATCGCACAGTTGAGTTCACTGATATGGAAGACGGGGTGGGAGCGAATACTGACGATGGGTTATCGAGTGCAGCTCAAGGCGCTCGGCCACTTAAGCCCGGAGAGAGGATCATTCCTCCAAGTCGAAGACCTGATGGATCGATGAGGAAAGAGATACGGATACGAGCTGGCTACACGCCGCAGGATGAGGTGGCACGCTACGAATCCAAAGGAGCCATTTTCCTTAAGGGTAAACCGACCGTTCCTCCAGGTTACGATCCTGTTGAGGATGCGCCGGGGCGGGTGAAGTCTAAGGCTGCGATTCGGAATGAGAAACGGAAGCAGAAGAGGCACGAGCAGAGGAACGCGACAGAAGGGGATGCGACCGAGAGGAATAACGGCGTGACAAGCACAGCAGCAGGAGAGAAGACCGCAAACAATGTGTCGTCGCTTGCATCCTCTGCCGCCTTGTCGGCATTGCCGTCCTCATCAAGCGACATGGCAGCAGGGATAGCAGCAGAGGCAAGCGACTCAGTTCAGCCTGTGCTCAGATTGCCCGGGTCGCAGCGCTCGCAGTCGAGATCGGCAGCAGGACAGGAGGCTGCCAATGCCACACCTCAGCAGGAGGGCGATCAGTCGGGAGGAACGGTAGAAATAGAGAAAAAGATACGCGCACTGCGGAAGAAGATCCGTCAAGCAGAGAACTTGTCGGCGGACGACTCAAAGACTCTGACAGCTGAACAGAAGGACAAAGTCAGCAAGTTGCCGAATTGGAAGAACGAAGTGGAAGAGCTAGAGGCACAGCTGTCATCCCTCCGAGTGCAATAAAACGGAGGGCGATTCGCAGGGCGACGGCGAGGACGGTGATTAGGTTTGTGTTCGCTCCGCTGGGATATCTTAACCCCGCAGGGGCCAAATGCGTGATCATCGGGTGAGGCGTATATGTAGTAGCGAGGGTGATAGCTTTTGTTTTGTTCAGCATCGGTTCGGGCACCAGTTTTGGTGTCGGTTTTGCCACCCGGGTGTGACTTGCGTGTGGCAAATCTTCCATGGCTTGGTTTGACATAAGAGAGATGGTCTGGTTTAAAGCGCAGGATTGGCGATGTCGGCAAAAAATGGACATTGAGCGAGTGTGAGGAGATGAGCACCCCGCTGCAGGCGTCTCCCCTCCCCTCCCCTCCCCTCCCCTCCCCTCCCCTCCCCTTCCCTCGTCGTCATCATGGCTGTCAATTTGCAGCTCAAATTGTTTATGGTCCTCATAATGTGACTGAGTGGACCTGTCAGTCCCTTTGCGACTCGAATCGTCGAGTGAAATCGGAATTGAAAAAAAGCCTTTTTTTCAGTTGGCAGCTAAAATTGCTTATACCTTTCTCAGCCTTTTGGCTGAAAATAGGTAAAGTGTAGTATCTGTGTTGATCGGTTTAATAACTGGTCCTTTTTAGTCCATTGGGGGGAAAAAAAGATCAAAAAAAAAAGCTCCCGCGCCTCCCGGTGTGGCTGATTTACTCTGTCAGTTGCTATCTCTTTTATGATGTACTGGTGGGGGGGGCTATGGGCCCAATTCCCAGCATGTGTTGCTCCCCACGAATAAGATCGGAGCTAGGGACGCTGGCCTCCTGCAACAACTGAGCGCTCTTATCCCCATCTGTTGCAGGTGAGCGCCTGTCTTTTTTCGAATGAACTAAAAAAAAAAAA